CTCGCTTGAGATCTGAGGAGCCCGCATTCATGGCATCGTCCAGGGAGTCGGCCGACTCAACCGTCCTCAGAATATCTTCAGCACAGGCGCAGCGACCTTCGGGGCCGCAGGAACCGCAAGTCAGATCGACTCCTGTGGTGTCCATAGGGGAGGGGTCCTCAGGCGTGGGCATCTGCGATGCCATGGATGTCTGGTGGATGGGGGACAGCTGATTTTCACTGCTGTGCGAACCGCGCTGGGTGGGCAGCTGGAACTGCCCCAGAGCAGCCTGACGCTCCCACCTCCTCTTTTGGCCATCAAGCGCCGTCTCGGCCTTGACGCGGTCCTGCCTCTCACGCTCGAGCATGGTCTCGAGCACATCGCAGCGAGACTTGTAGGACTGCACCTCCATCTCGAGCTCATGAATACGGTCCTTGGAATCGGCCTCCTTTTTGTCGTGGGCCTCCTTGAGCTCGTCCAGTTGCTCCTCGAGCTCGCCGACGCGGGCGGCTCGGCGCTCGCGGAAGGCTCTCTGTGCAGCTCGGTTCTGCGCCTTGCGCTTTGTGGGCGGAGTGTCCGTGGCAGGCTTGCGGCCGGGCTTGGGGCGAGGGGGGATGACCCATTCCTTCGAGGTCATGGAGCCTGCCATCTTGGGCACCTCCGACTGGGGGCTGATGACGGATGACATGGACATCTTGGTGAGGTCGGGATGATGAGAGGCTGGGGGCGGCGGGGTGGGTGGCAGGTAGGGAAAATAGCCTGCACCCGGTCGAATGGGTGGCAGTAGATGGGTTGGCGGCGGTAGAGAGAGGTGGAATGCCGACGATGAGGAGGCGGCTCCTGATGTGGACGAGGAAGAGGCTGTGGTGGAAGGCGATGAGTATGTGGATGCGGGACTCGAAGAAGCCGAGCTTGAGCCGTGCTGGGATCTCGGGGTTGTCGTTGAATTCAAACGGCGTCGCGCATCGTCGTGATGCGGCTGCTGATAGAACTGTGCGAATGAGTAGGCTCGTGTGTGGCTGCCTGGATTGCCAGTGGGAGATGAAGCGGTCGAGGTTGATGCCAGAGACGAGGTCGAAGGCCAGGTCGAAGAGGGGAGAATGGATGACGGTGCGAAGGCCATCACGGACCGCGGGCACTGGGAAGCGAGGCCTTTTCTCTGCCGGATTGGTGGGCTGTTCGTCCCCAGCGATATCGCACCCCAGCAGCTAGTGCTGTCCAGAGGTAGCTCGGAGCGGGCGGTAAGTACCTCGGAGGTACCCAGCAGGGTCAGACGGATGGGGCACGAGAGGGGAGGGGCAGGGCACTCGGTCGGGTACTGTCGGCGGCGGTGGAGTTCGCAGTATTGCAGGCGTGTGTTGGATCATTGAGGATGGATGCAAAATTGTGAGAAAATCTCGAGAAGGAGAAGAGATGGGAGATGTTGAAGACGTATTGTTTTCTTTCGACCCCTCAAGGTCGGAAGTACGGCCATCTGGTCGAGCGTTGTCCGTGTCGTAACAAGAGGTGAGCACGTTTGAGCGGGATACGCCTGGCTAGTGTGTGTGCCTGTGTTGGTCTACGTTCTCACGCCGTGGCTGGGGGGTACATGCATATATGCGAGAGAGAGAGAGAGAGAGAGAGATCGACCTCTCGGGTATGTCTGTCGGTCGGTCAGTGGGTGTCGTAGGTTCAGAGCTCCATTCGGGGGAACACTCTTCTTTTTGCCCTAAAGATATAAGCAAGTCAACTCGCTTGGCAGTTGGATACTTCATTTTTGGCCTGTGAGGCCGTGAACCATCTCCTGAAAAAACATGCACAGGAACAGTCGAGTGCACGACAGGGGAGATGCAAGTAACGATTCGCCATCGCTGGCTGCCGAAGCAGCAGATCTGCTCACTGATTGGATCTCCCGTCTGGAACGCCCCCGCAGTTCGTCAAGAGGACACTGCTGAGGAGAGCTGGAATGAGCTGATTGCAATTGGCTCTCCCCTGACCAAACCTGCCCGTGTTTCCAATTGAGCTGGTTACCATTGGCTGTCCGTCTCACCCACGGCATGACGAATCTTTGCTTCCTCATTGAGTCGGCCGTATGAGGAAGGAAGGAATGCATGTGTGTACGTGAGATGATGAGGAGGAGCAGACGGAGAGGGGACGTACGCAGTGCTGGCGTTGGCGCTGGTGCGCTCGTAGGGGTCCTCATATAAGGGAGGCCATTGTTGTGGTTGGTGGTGCTCCAGTGCGCTCCAGGTGGGACGGGGCACGCCTACGTTGCCTACCTACTTACCTACCTACCTACCTAAGGTAAGGTACCTGCGGCATTCCTCAGGATCACTCGTCAAAAGGCGTCCTACGCTGTGGACGATGCACTGGCACTGGCATGGGCACCTTGTACTGCCAGCACCAGCGCAAGGTGGCTCCTGGCGCGGCCTTGGCTCTGTTGAGTGGGACGAGAGGAGACAGACGAGAAGACTGTCGAGTGACTTTCGTAACAAACTCAGTGACTTGGCCAAAGAGTGGGGGCCGGAGAGCCTAGGGAGCGTCTGAGCCGAGGGCTGATGCGGCCTACCAATCATATCCTGTGATCGTGAGCAGATTTTGATTAGATTGATAAGATAATTTTTCCTGTGTCACCATGCTGGATCCGCCAGGGTTTGTGCATGGTGCATTGGCCCGCCCACCTCCCCCCCCCTTTCACACCTTTCACACGCTTCTACATCCTTTCCACGCCCAAGGGCATCCCGCCCGGTTGGTCCTCTTGTGCTGTCTCGTCATGGTCCGATGCATTTGCTTTCGGCATCCGAGAAGCCATTCGCTTCCGCCCCTCTCGAAATGGAGCGACATCGGATAGGCCCCGGCATGGTTTGGGGGAACCTGTCCCAACAAGAACCTTGAGATCCGCCTGTTCTCGTTCCATGATCGGTCCACTTGCAGCTATAACTAGATGGCATTGAATCCGAATAGTGCTGCGTGGTTCAACTGTTCGACCCCTCGTCAGGGCCCAGCCGCTCGGCGCCTACCCTTGCAGAGGGGGCCGAATTCAAGACGAGGGCAAAGTAGGTGATCAAGGCCAAGGCGGGGTGTGTTCGCTGTGAGCTCTCAATATTCTGCAGGCGCAAAAAGCCGCGAATATTTGCGGGACTGTCCGCGGAACCGTGAGCCTGGATCCTGCTCTCGGTGTAAACGCAGAATAAGATCGTCCTGGTCATCACATCGTGTGCAAGTGGAACTCCGAGCCTGTGCTCGGCGGTATCAAAAGCAAAGCTGAACGTCCACATGCCGGGACGAAGGCCGAAACTCTCACCGCAACAACGGAAGGCCGTACTAGTTCGGGAGGGGGCACAGGGAAACGGCCTGGCCGCGCGCTGGTGGCGCGGATTCCTCATGCGGCAGATTTCTCACTTCAGGTGCTGTCGAGCGAGCTCCATGTCTATCACTGGTGATCTTCTGACGCGTCCTCTGTGACTCCGCCGCCTGACTGAGCTGCTGTCGCTCGTCCAACAGGACCTGATGATGGCAGTATGACAACACTCGTCGATCAAACAGGGGGCCAGGATCCACGGACGACACAGTGTTACATATCAGATCAAATGATTGGACTTGGCTGAGCCTCGATGTTTTACCCAGGCCCAGGCGTATCTTGCTGCCTTATCCCCAGCAAGCGCCCTTCTTTCCGCGGAGACACGCCAGTTGACCACACTGGACTTTGTGTAGCAATTGGCGCACATGGAACACTGCCAAAGTGACTTTACAGCTAGCACCTCTGACTGGTGATGTGCGCCACCTATGGACATGGGGACTTGAGAATATCGCAGCCCGTTGTTAACTCCGCCAGAGACGCAGAGTTTGGGGTCGCTCATCATGTGCTCAAGGCACCTAGTGAGCAGGGCAGCATCACCTGGCCCAGGTAGGTGACGTAAAAATCGCATTGCGCAGCACCCAAGTTCCCTTCATACGAAAAGTGTTTTTCTTTGCATTCCTCCCGGAATCAGCCATGGCTTTCAACTGCCGCCGATTCGGCTCTTTCATTTTACACGATCATGTCGCAGTGCAGATAGCATGATACTCCCCGACCTGGATTTGACGTCGTGTGCCAAGGACGCATGCGTGTTATCAAGCACACCAGTTGACATGAATATAGAGATAGACTTAGCAGGAGTCGTTGCAATAGCTACTAGACCCAGCGAATGTTAGCATTTTCGAGACCTTACAATTGGAAGACACCTCGTCGACAACACGGCGCTCAAGTCTTCTGCACTTTGTTACGAGAGTATCTTGCAGGCTTGTGAGTCGAAAAGTATGGCTCAAGAGATCTGCTTGGTATTCTCAAGCCAGCTACGCATATGTATTGCAGTTCGACCAGGTCATCTCTGATACCACCAGATTGTTGTATGTCGTGTAGATCAAGTTCGCCACGCATAGTAACTAAACATTGCGACATGGCTAAAAGGAACGATCTTGTGAACATTATTCTAATATGTAAGGCTACCCCTTGAGGTTGGCTGAAGCTCATCCAGGAATCAAGACCACCGGGATTCTCGTGACATCAACTCGAGTAGGTAGGATGTGGTGCCACGCCGACTGACTATCAGGAACACTCTTGACACGTCCTGGGATGCGTAGCTGGCACTTTCACTTTGAAGATCTTCAAGAAGAATCTAGGCTCTGCTGAACCGTCACCAAGCGAAGGCTGCAAGCTACATGTACACTGTCTGCATATCTTGACGTAGCCACTCCTGCGACGGCGTGCATCTGGGCCAGGACAATTGTGGATGGCAGCTGGGCTGCCCCCACTTCCCCCCAGCGTCTTGCATACAGTCTTGGGTTCCAGCATGCCAATTATAGCGTGCACAGTGGCCTAACAGAAGTGCCCCTCACCAATGCACACCTCCTATCAGACTAAAGTGGTCTCTCGAAAGCTCCAAGCTCCAACCCGACAGCTCGACAGGCCGTTCATCGCGGCCTCAGCCGATTAATGATTTCGCTCCCAGATCCATTGAAGCGATCCCCAAACTCAACATCCTTCCGAACGGTCTGACACCATGACCGGCCTCGGTATCAAGTCCCCGACCGCGGCCTTCCACATGGCATCCTCCTCCTCCTCCTCCAACAGCTCAGAAGACGACGACGCCCCTCTCCCCTTCCCCGAGGCGCTCCCGCGTTCAGACTTTCTCGCCACCGATTTCGACCCAGCGTCCTACCTTTCAAACCTCCCCCATCGCCACCAGACCCTCGACGATCTGAAGGGCGACCTTCGCGAGCGCAGCGGGCCCATCAGCGCCGAGCTCCTCGAGCCCGTCAACTCGAATTACACCGCCTTCCTCTCCCTCGGCGATGAGCTGCGCGGCGGCCGATTGACAAGGTTGAAAGACGTCAAGGTCGTCTATGCTGGGTTTTCCCCCGGCAGATAGAAGAGATCAAGAGCCGCGTGCGAACGAGGAAAGACGAGGCCGCGCGCCTGACGGGAGAGCTCGACGACGTGCGCAAAGAGATTGAGATGGGCAGGCGAATGCTGGAGCTCGACGACAGGGTGTCTGCGCTGGAGGAGAAATTGGCCGTCGCGAGCCTGCCGGGCAAGGTGCCGGCGCACGACGCTGACGACGACGATGCTTGGAGTGTTGCGTCGAGCGAGGATTCCGATGCCGAGGACGATGAGGTGTACACGGGACTCGTGGGGACCAGCCCGTCCAAACTGTCGGGATTGGCGCACGATTACTGCATCATTGAGGCGTTGGCGGACGTTACAGGCAGGGATACGCCCTTTGTCACCAAAATGGAGTCACGCATGATGAGGTGTCGCAACACGTTGCTCCTCGATCTCAACGCTGCTTTGAAGGAATCGCGCAAGGCAGGGGACAAGGGAAAGTCACGGCTTGTCCAATACCTCGGGTTATACGGGCTGTTGGACGCCGAGGCAGAAGCAGTCAAGGCTCTGAAGGGAAAGTAGGAATGGTCTTTAACAGCGTATTGAGAGACATGATACCCAACTCTAGAAGATCCCGCCTTCCCATGCCACATTGTTTTATACACGCGTATCTATGACATATTATACACCTCGCGCCTCTCCCGACACGGGAACACCTTTTACATGACCTGCGACAGGTGTGCCGGCGTCACCTTCTCGTCCGTCGGATCAAACAGGCCGTTCAGGTTGAAGCCGGGGCCGTGCGAAGAGCTCAGGACGACCTCCTGAACCTCCTTGTGGGTGCCCTCCAGCTTCTCCACGTCCTGCTTGATGCTCTCGATGAATGCCTTGACGTTTGCCGCCAGCATCTTTGGCGTGAAACCCAGCTGTCCAACCGCCAACCTCAGCGCGCCCATCTTCTCGCGGTACGTGTCGGCACCCGTGTTATCGCGAATAGCCGAAACGACGTTGTCCGTAATGGTCTTCATGCGTCTATTCGGCATGAGACCCTTGGGACCGAGGATGCGGCCGAGCCCAGCCTTGGTGAGCGCCGCCTCGGACGAGCTGTGGCACAACAGGCGGTTGAAGTTAATCTTGTCGTTCCTGATGGCTTCGAAAATAGCGTCCTGACCGGCGAGAACAGCACCGGCCTGCAGTGCCTGCACGGCGACCTCGCTGTCGTCGGGGCAGATGACGGCGACGCGGACGTCGCCCGTCTTGACGGGATTGGGGAATCGGATGCGGCCCTTGACGGAGGGTCCATTGCGAGGCGTCTTGAAGCGGACGGAAAGCTCATACTTGATGTGAGTGGGAGAGCGGCCGACCTCGTAGGCGCGGAGGTACCTTGCGTCATGTCAGTATCTTGGGATACGAGCCCACGTCAGGAGCGTCTCACCTCATGGCGTCGCAGAGAGAAAATTGCGGAAACTTGGTCGGATCGTAAGATTTGTAGTCCTTGTTCAGCTTCTTCTTCTTCTTGTCCTTCTTCGCTGCCTCCCTGATTTTGGCAACGTTCTTGCTTGCGCATCGCGTCTGCGTTACGGCTGGGGCGAGGAACCGCGGCAGGGCGGATGCCTGGGGTCTTGTCGCCGCCGAAAGCGAGAGCCTTGCCATCGAGGCAAGGCATTGGTTGGAGGTGGCCATGGCTCGTGGTGGTGACAGACGCTTGGGAGATGGAGAACACGAGACCAGCCTTGCAGTTCGACGTGAAGCTCTAGTCTCGATCGCCAATACACGACAGGAGACGAAGAAAATTGTGAGCGCCTGAGCATTCAGGCGTTCGTGACGAGCTGCTCTTATCTTATCGGAATGTGACCAGGTTTGTGCAATAGTGGAAGGAGCTGTTTAGTCAGCAGCATCCAGGTTTAACACGGTCTGTCTCACGATGATTGAAACATGAACAGCTTCATCGAAGACCAGAAGTCGCCCGTCTTTTTGATGGTGCTTTACCAATCCTTCGAGCTTGACGAAAGGAACCGCTCATTTAGTTCGTGGGTAATTGCATCTGTGAACCTGGTGTCTTGCGCTTTGCCGACTACTCGGCCAGGTCGACCGTGGTGCATGTGGTCATGGGGTAAATCAACAAGCTGATGTGGTCGTCATTGTAAGATCTCATCAATAAGGCTTCCTGCTCGGCTTATAGACCGGGGAGTCAAGTTTGAGGCAAACTCTTCTTCGCTAGAGAATAGTGCAAGACCCCAAAACAGACCGGAGGTACGGGGATTGTCGGGCGGCCCAGCCTTCTTACTACGCGAGATTGCCTTGACGGTCTGACCATCTTGAAAGAAGCGGGTAACATATCAGCCAGACATCTAAGAACTTGAAGATATCTTCTATAGCGAGCTCTTCACCCTCGACCATCCCGCTTAGCTCTCAGGTCACCCAGCCGTCTATGTATCCGCCGCCAAGGTCGGTGCCTCAACATGATTCCATTACCGGGTCTAGTAACGAGTCTCAGCACGCCCATCGCTAAGGACTACGCCGATCAGAGAAGTCCAGTATATGGCTTGTATTCTCTTAGTCTTCTAGTCATCTGAACAATTTCTGTCGAGTTAGATGTGGCTTGAATCGAGACATGTCACTTCCTAGAAATATCGAAATTTGCGGCTCGCTGAGGCAATCACTGTCGTGCCATTGGTCTGTCAAGTTGAATCAAATCTTCACCTCAGCGGGACTCTATCTCAGTGTTGGCTGGGGTTTCTGCTTGTGCTTGTCAACGGACGACATCTCAAGAAGCAATGAACGCAAGGCAGTCGCGTGATCTTGCCTGTGCAATCTCATTTGATATGTCGGTGGAAGCACGACATGGGCTCGGTGACAGTTGATGAAGGCGTCGGTGAGGATCTGTGGGTCTTCATGTGTGCAGGTGGTAAGGCGATTCTCGAAACAGAACGAACACGATCAGTCAAAGATATACGCATCGACGGTATATGCGTTTACTGAGACTGATGTGCGCGGGGTAGCACAGTGCTCTGTAGCTACCTCACCCAGCAATGGCTCGGCCTACCCCTCCATAATTTTCAACCCCGCCACAAAATATCATTTACTCGGCATAGTCATCGGTTCGACTCACGAGACACCACGACTCTTTCGGCGATACCCCTGTCATCAAACTCGATTGTACTATACCAACGATTCAATATGAAGCCCGAGGAGGTGCAGGCCCTGCCAGCCGCTCTGGCGGGCGACTTCAAGTCTCTTGAGCCCCATCTTCGGGCTCTCGACAAGCACCTGACGCTGCGCACCTACGTGGAGGGCTACGCGCTGGGCGAGACTGAGACCAAGATCTGGCAGACTCTGAAGTCCAACAATGCAGGTGTCGGTTTCATCAAGAAAGGCAGCCTTGTCAACCTGACACGATGGTAGCGTCATCCGGAGAAGACCCCTTTTGACAATGTGGCACGTCACTAATACCTCCACTATCCGCAGGTTCAACTACATTAGCCAAGCCCACCCCGAGATTCAGGCCGAAGCCAAGGCCGCCGAAGCTGCCAGGAAGGCCAAGATTGCTGCCGGTAGCAAGGCTGGCGGTAACTTCGATCTCGCCCTCCAGAATGCCGACCAGGGCGTGGTCACGCGATTCCTTCCCGAGCCTTCGGGCTACCTTCACATCGGACACGCCAAGGCCGCCCTCCTTAGCGACTACTTCGCCCACGAGGCTTACAAGGGCCAACTGCGTCTGCGCCTCGACGACACGAACCCTTCAAAAGAGAGCGAGGAGTTCCAGGACTCCATCGTTGAGGACCTCGCCCTCATGGGCATCACCCCCGACACTCTCACCTACACTTTCCGACTACTTTGACTACCTCCACGACATGTGCAAGCGCCTGATCACCGAAGGACATGCCTACTCCGACGATACCGACCAGGAGACCATGAAGGCCCAGCGTATGGATGGCATCGAGTCCAAGTGCCGCAACCGAACGATCGAGGAGAACCTCCGCATCTTTGAGGAGATGAAGCTTGGTTCGGCTGAGGGTGTCAAGAACTGCATTCGTGCCAAGGTCTCTGTGGACAACCCCAATAAGGCCATGCGCGACCCCGTCATCTACCGTTGCAACATTGAGCACAAGCACCACCGAACTGGCGACAAGTGGAAGGCTTACCCCACCTACGACCTCGCCTGCCCTCTGGTCGACTCCAAGGAGGGTGTTACTCATGCGCTGAGATCCACAGAGTACACCGACCGCAACCCTCTGTACCAGTGGTTCATCGACACCTTGAAGATCCGTCAGGTCTACATGTGGGATTTCTCGCGCATCAACTTTGTGAGGACCCTCATGTCCAAGCGCAAGCTTGCTTCTCTTGTCAACGCCGGTACCGTCGACGGCTGGGATGACCCTCGTTTCCCCACCATCCGCGGCGTCCGCCGCCGTGGTCTGACCATTCCTGCCTTGCGCGAGTTCATCATCAAGCAGGGCCCCAGCCGCAATGTTGTCAACATGGACTGGGCCAGCCTCTGGGCTCTGAACAAGAAGGTTATCGACCCCATTGCGCCCAGGCATACGGCTCTTGTCGAGAAGGACATTGTCAAGGTTACTCTAACTGGTGCCGATGTGCCCGCCGAGCCGAGGACAGAGGAGCGCCCGAGCCACCCCAAGAACAAGGAGGTTGGAACCAAGAACGTCATCTTCTCCAACGAACTCTACCTGGACCAGGCCGACGCCAAGACGCTCAAGCAGGGCGAGGAGATCACCGCGATGTCCTGGGGCAACATTATCATCCGCGAGATCACTGGCACCGACAGCGTCACCGCCATTACGGCTGAGCTGAACCTCAAGGGTGACTTCAAGACGACCGAGAAGAAGGTGACCTGGCTGTCTGCCCAAGGCACCAAGCTTGTTCCGGCGGAGCTGTGGGACTTCGATTACCTTCTCACCAAGGACAAGCTCGAGGAGGACGACAAGCTTGAGGACTTCCTGAACCCCGTCACCTCCACCATGGAGCAGGCCCTTTGCGATGAGGGCGTCGCTAAGCTGAAAGAAGGACGACATTATTCAGCTCGGAGCGCCGCGGTTTCTTCCGTGTGGGATAAGGGTCTGGCCGATGGCGGCAAAGTAGTACTATTTGCCATCCCTACGGGCAGAAATAAGAAGTCACAGGGAAGTGGAAGGTGTTGTTCCTTATGGGGAACGCGGTAGCTGGTCTCATTCTGAGGTGCCATGAGAGAGCATTCAGAGTTGTCACAAGGAATCGCATGACGAAAAGAAAATATGTCTCAAAGCTATCGGCGTCGAGAGATGTGAACAAGTGATTTAAGTACTGAATGGGTACTGCCTGACCTGCTGTCAATCCGGTGTTATTTATAAGAAACTGACTACTTCGAAGGAATGGAGGGGGGAAGGGGGGCTAGTCAAGGCTCCGTAGCCTCCCTCCAATGAGAAAAGGGACTCATCAAGACTGTCCCTCGATTCCGTAACGAGGCTGTTCCATTTTCCCTTGGATAGGATGTAGTGCAACGCCCTCGAACCAGCCCCTTGCACGTATCCCTGGCTTCATTTCAAACTTGCCATTTATTTAAGCTAGCCCGCGTCCCGCGCTCTTTCTTTCTTTCTTTCTCTTCCTCTTCTCTTTTGACTTCTCTTTTTCTCCGCCTTTTCTCTTCCGAGTTCTCTTCTCTTTCTCTTTCTTTCTTTACTGCAGGGCGCGGGATATGTCTCGCCCTTTACCCGCCGACATGACACTGGTATGAAGGGGGAAAGGCAGCCTCTCAAGGGCACGTTAACTCCTCGCGGCATTGAAAAGTCAATTGACTATTGCAAGTATACAACAGACATTTCCAATTTGTTCCACGTAGCGGGGCTCCTGTTGCGACCCCCCCTCATCCGCTATCCCGCCTCTAGTAAGGACCTGAGCCGGGACCGACCTACCATGGGCCGCCAAAGCGAGCGCACCTATCGTCGCCCTTGATGACGGCGTTGACTTTGCGACAGTCCTCGTACTGGTCCTTGCACTGACGGAGAGCGGTGTGGTACTCATCCTTTGGGTGAGCGATGGTGCCAGCGCTCAACCCGCCGCCGCCGCCAGTAGAGCGCCTCTCGTGCTTCCTCCCCTTTTTGCCGCCGTGTTTCCTGTCACCGTGCTTCCTGCCGTCGTGTTCCTTGTCTCCATGCTTCCCCTTGTGCTTGTGTTTCTTGTCATCTTCATCATCATCATCATCCTTGCGGTCCTTTCTGGTGTCGCGCGACTTGGCGTAGACACCACGGCATCGCTCATATTGTTGCTTGCAGGCATCCTTGCAGGCCTTGGACACGTCGCCGCGCTTGTACGAGGGACAATGGCCCCAGTTGGAGTGGTCATATTGCTTGAACGGGTTACCGCGCTTGTGGTCGGCCTCGTCGCTGTTGCAGGTGACGACGGGCAGGTCAATGTCGCCAACGGGGTCTTCGGCCGTGTACCCGCGGCCCGGGTTGTGGGGCTGCGCGCAGAGGTTTGTGGGCTCGGGGATGGTGTCGGGGGTCATGGTGCCCGTGGCCTCGGTGCATGGCACCGTCTTGGTGACGGGGTCCTTGTTGTTGTTGCTGCCGCGTGGGGGGTTCTCGGCGTGGTGCCCGGCCTTGGAGCAGTTCCTCGACTTGCTGGTGCACGACCTGCGGCAGAAGAGCTTGGCGTCCTTGCACCACTTCTTGTAGTCGGCGCACTCGAGGGCCGCCGGCCATCCGGCGAACTTCAGGCATGCGTGGGTTTGGAGGTGGCACTTGGCCCAGGAGGCGAAGCACGTCTTCTCGTTGGAGAAGTCGGGGAGGGGCTCGTTGCACCATTGACCGACACACCACTCATCCTTGGGGGCCACTGTGGTGCAGACCTTGGTGCTGGTAGCCGTCGGTGTGCCTGTCATGGGAGTTGTCGAAGTTGGCGTCCTAGTAGTCGATGACGGCTTGTCTGTGGGCTTGTCGGTGGGCTTTGGGGTGGTCTGAGTTATAGAGGTCGTAGTCACAGAGGTACTGCGCGCCGGTGCTTCATTGTCGTTCTCGCATGGGTCCTGGGAGAGTAGTTCGGAGGCCCGGAAGATAGTGATTCGGCCTCGCCACCGCAGTCTAAGAGACTGGCCGCCGCCGCAGGGCATGTTGCAGTCCGTGTCATTAACTTCCTTGGGAAAAAGGCTCACGGAGAGCACCACACCAGCACTCGCTACCAAACTCAACACCGGCGAACGGAAGGCCACGATCAAGGCAGGCCTTGATACAAGTTGCGGGCGTCACCTTGGCAGCATCGATGTTCTGGCGGAAGCCGAGGGTACGGCCCACAGCCGAGTCGTCGGTGAAGCAGCCTGTGTCGTCGTAGTCGTCATCATCAACAGCATCGCTGAGCTTCAGGAACGTCGGATCCCGATAAACGGTTAAGCTGTCGGTACCACCACAGTTCTCCTTCTGATTCCCATCGCACGGAAGCGTGCAGTTTGAGTCTGGAAGCTTGGGTCCTTCAAGTTTCGATCCACAAAAGCAGATACCGTAGTACTTGAGTCCCGAGAATTGATAGCCATTGCCTAGAACACTTTAGCAATGTTCTATATCATGCAAGGGAACAGTCATGGTACCTTTGCAGATGGCCTGGCACTTGAAGGTGGTCATGCCCTTCGATGATACGGTTGACCGGAAGTCCAGTGTTTTCCCATCATAGTCTTGGTAGCATCCGGTAGCTTCGAACGGCGAGAAATGATTCGCGCAAGCAGGGAGTTCGACCTCAGTCCTGAAAATGGAGGCCGCAGTCTGCTGAGCGAGCAGGGCCGCCAGGGTTACCCAGGCTGATAAGCGGGCCATGATGAGAAGACTCGAGGTAGAAATATGGGATTTGACTTGCAATAAGCCTTGTTCTGATGTGCTGCTGCCCGCCTCATCATACGCTTCATCAGGCTGGGGAAGCGCGTCATTTGTATTCGTCTCTGTGGCACGGATCGAGGCCCTGTACGCGAGGGTATCGGGAAGACGAAGTGCCAGGCTTCGTGGTCGTCATGCCGCCGCAAAACATAAGTCGATACCCGCCCGTGACTGTGTTTCCCAGAGTCGATGGATGATCTTTGCGATACAGCGCCACGGTGGACATCTCGGAAGCGAAACGAGAAAGTGCGGCGTCCGCGGGGTGGCGCCCATCTGCAATAATCATGTCATGGACGACTCACTTTCGGTGGTTTCCATGTTCAGCAGTGGCTCGCAGCTCGTCAAATCAGACCCTGTTCATTGTCAAGCTCACCTACAACTCATCAATGGGCAGCCGCAATCGCTGTGTTTTGTAAACAGGGGCCATCACTAGTACAACATCAGCTTATGGCAAGAGAGCTTGGCCGTGGGGTTGTTGCTCTAAGAACAATGTTCACAGGCAGAGGAGAACTCAAAGCGAAGGCGTGGCCGAGAACGAATGCTAGAAACAGATAAATGCAATCCACGTCCACCACTGCATACGACAGTAGACGAAAATGACAAGACATAAAGTGTATTGATCAAATATGATGCCACCCTAAACTGTACCACCGCCCCGACGCCTCGTGCAAATGAAGTTCTCGACCAAAAAATGGCATGCCGATGCCGAAGTTCCGCTTAGAATTACACAAAGGAAATTTGATGCCAGCCTCCACACGTACTACGCCCCTATTTCTGCTCATGCTGGAAACCAGCAGTGCCGAGCTCGGGGCTGGTGGTGCTGTGGAGCTTGGCGTTCTTGAGGGCGCTGGGGTACCACAGGAGGAAGAAGGCCATGGTGAGGGTCATGAGGGCGGCGTCAAAGACGTAGACGCCCCACTCGACGCTCAGGAGATATCCGTCGCTGCCCATGGCATACTCTGCCACACGGAAGATATTACGGCCCATGATGAGGGCGGAGGTGAGGTACAGCATGAGGAGGCTCTTCTGCCAGGGAATGTCGCGGGCCAGAGAAACGTTGGCGTCCCTCTTGAACTTGCTGTGGAACTTGAGGGCCGTAACAACAAAGACGCCGAAGATGAGGATCTGGAAGATGAGACCGCCGACAATGACGTGACCGCCGAGGTTGCGGTCGATCTTGCTATCCTTCTGGCCGGCCTGTACGCGAAGGCCTGCACCGCTGGCCTGAACGAAGAAGCTGAAAGCATCACCAAAGACAAAGATGCGGGTAAGCCACTTGGGTCGGATGATGGAGCAGTGAGCTGCGTCGACAGCGCGGATGATACGGCTCAGAGTCATGTAGAGGGAAGCGGCGAAGAGGATAGGCGCCAGCAGGAGGAAGGTCGACTGAAGCACGTAGGGCATTAAGGTACCGGTTGAGCTGTGGGCTGCAGCTCGTCCGACGTATCCAACAATTTCGACTTTGAGGGAACACGTTTTAGCTTTGACGCGTACAGTAGAGCCTCGGGTATAGCGTTGTACTTACAGACACCTCCAACCACGAACGGAAGGCAAAACCACATCCGGTGACGGAACATCCTGAAAGCATGACCAATCGTCAAGACTCCGAAGAGAGCAGCGAAGACTATGGCTGCCGGAAGCGAGGGGATGTAGTGCCACAGCTTGTAGCCATTGTATGTCTCGAGTACTGCCATTGTGTCGGGTGTTGTCCGGCGGTTGGATCTTGGCTCAAGGTTGGGAAGACGGAGGCACAATGGTAGCAGTAGGTCGTAATACTGGACTTCTAGAATTGTGAAGAAGGAATCCGGGGTTGAAGTAGTTTATCAAGAAGTTCCCAAACCGTGGAATGATGTGTTGTGTGCTTGGCAGCGTTGAATGCTATGAAGGCATGGCAAGAGGGCCCCTTTGTATGAAAGCTCCTCAAACATTCAAGGAGGCGAAGCAGCGCTACGAAGCACCATGACGGCTTTTCGGCACGTGGACGACGTAACGCTTCATCAATTTCAATACGATTCAAGCGGTCTCAGCCATGTTCGTTGAGTTCGCGAGGCAAACTCGCGATTCTCGGCAATGCATCCGCCCATTCTCGGCTGAACCCGAAGTATTGGATGATTGGTCGAGCTTGGTCGAGTCCTTGACATTTCCGGCAATCGGCACTTCGGGTTGCCCGTCAAAGCTTCTTAGCGTATGAGCTTCTCCATTAATCCTGGAGACTGGTGCACCCTTGCTCGCCATTAAGCTTCTTTCTGCTCGTTTTCGCATTTTATCGGGCGCCAGCCTGTATGCTGGGATGAGTTAGAATGTCAGTCCACGTTGCCGGAGGCGTAGGCCCCTCTCCTCTTCACGTCAACTCGTGGACTAGGTATTAAGAACAGGTTGGGCAGACTTGCGGGCGAACTAACCCACCCCTTGGCCCGTGGTATGGACATGTCGCATGGCCACCTTACAGCGGCAGCCCTATGTGACGTGGCCAAGACCCTAAAGTTACCCACTTCATGGCGTTGTTTAGAAGGCAGAAACGGCAAAAAGCAGCAGAGGCCTGGATGGCAATGCCAAGTCATAACCACGCCAAAGAATTGAAAGGTTGAGAGTTGATGAGGTGCGCAAGGTAGATGGTATCATGAAATTGCAAGTCATCTGAACAAACGCTACATACGTTGCTATCTGGAGTAATACAAAGAAAATATGGATGCTGTAACATGTTCTGGCTCTGACTCGCCGTCTGTCATTCCTCGATGGCTCTCTCGCTTTCGGTTTTCCCGCGCATCTCGTTCGACGCCCACCAATGACTCCCTAGATGCCTCTTTCTCTACCGGCCCGTCCTGCATCTTGCTTTCTTTCGGCCTATCGACAGCGCCATCACTGATGATTGGTTGGCGCTCGGAGATGTCTCCTCGTGCCGCCGCTTCCTATTGACGAGCTCCCGGTCGGTAACCTCTTGGTTGATAGGCCCCTTGTTGGTCAGCCCCTTGTTGGTAGGCTCCTCCTTGGTATTGTCCTGATTGATAAACTCCGGATTGATCTACGCCTTGTTGCTGGGCCGCGGGTTGGTAAACCGGGCGAAGTGCGTGCATATCGCTATCCCCTGGGAGACTTTCAAAGTCACCCTTTCCGGGCCTGGTTTCGCGCCGCATGCGGAGCTCCTTATACGACATGAAGACGGCAACAGCGGATACGGCACTGTCAAATCTCTAACATCAGCAACTTGAATCTGCAGCAACTTGGGTTCGTGTTTGTTTCGAGGAACGTACCAGATGTTGCCCGCAAGTGCGATCACGCCCCAGGCTAGCATGCAACTCGTGCCTTTAAACCCATCGCACTGTTTCAAAGTGCTTGAGATGACCATGTATACGACCGCACCCCAAGCGGCTACTTCGACAATGTTTAAGATGAAGTTGGCTTTCAAGCTTTCAAACCGCCTGAGCCAGCGACCAGGTTCTGAAAATACTTGGTAGCCAATGATGATGAGTGACTTGGCACCCTGTCAAAGTAATGCGCAGTCAGCAATCTGGTCTGTTTGAGGACTTGTAGGTTGTGCTTCATCGTACCATTCCAAGAGCCATTGTGTCTGCTCTTGACGTAGGACCATTTGACATCAAGAGACGAGCGCCACCCATTCCAAGTACGCCGACAACGAGGAGAACTTGCACAAGGTGGAGCTTGCCCTTGTGTTTGGGGTCGAAGAAGCCCATTTTGTCGAAGTGAAGGGATGAAGTGGAGAGAAAGAGTTGACAAGATTTGGCGATAGATATCAAGAGTCCTCACGACCGTCGAGAGCGGGTTGAGTGGTCGAGAATAGAAGGAATGACTGTAGGCACGGAAAAGGCAAGAAAATATCTTCGAGGGCTCTTTTCAGGCGAGGAGAGTGTGTTAATGAGCGAGCAGTGATAAGATCAAGAATTTCTAAATCGATTTCCACGCAACTGCGGTTGTGTCTACTTATGTCGCCATCTTGCCCATAAAAAACCCCAATACTCCATCTCTCGCCAGAAGAATGGGATAAGGAGTTTCAGGGGGCCGGTTTGCGAGAGTCTGCCTCGCGCGATTCGGGTTTCTCGCGTGCTATCATCGCACTGCCCAAGTGCCTGTGGTGGTTGGTTTCACAGTGCACGTTCACCATTATGCAACACACAGGCGCGCGGGTGGTTCCAGCCTCGCTCTCATCTTAATAAAAGTGCTCCATTCTCGGATCATCCCCTGCAGCCCCCCCTGGGACTGTCCGTGCAGCCTACAAGACCTTGCAGCACTATGGGGGGTTATTGGCAAACTTGGGAGACAAGTAGTGGATAGGGGGGCACGCCATCCCTGCCTCGCATCTTTGGGGGTACGGCTTGGGAAGGGTGGAATTGTCGAAGTCGACTTCTCCTTGGTCGCGTACCTTGTTTCGATCGTGGAGGGCATGGCACTAGACTCCTCCCTTCGCGCCAGACCTTGTAGCCCTGGAGCTAACAAGCACCACCCAGCACGGGGCTGGCTCGCTTTCTAAGAGCACATGGATTTTTCTTCTGGATCGATCCTCCTTTGCAAGAGTCTGTCATGGACCGTCGCGCGCAATGCTAGAACTGCAAAGGAACGGGCTGTGCCACGAGACAACATGGCAGCGGATGGCTGAGCAGCCTGAGCCGGCCCGAGGCGGGGCCGTAGCAGTGCCCGTGAATGCAGTACCAGAGTCTCCACCGAGGAGACCGAAACCGAGACCGATGGGGGGCACTGCCAGCTCACACAGCATATTGACAGGTCTCACTGGACATGCTGATCCGGAACCAGACAGTCTGAGGCCCGTACGATCCTGAATCACTCTCAGGTCCAGCTGCTCTGACGTGAAGGCTTCGGTTTCGCTGTCGCGACAGCGTCACTATTCCTGATGTTGCTGAGACCAACAAGAGTTAATTGATCATCTTTAGCCGCGTGAGTCAACGGTCAGCCATTCCTCGTCAGAGGCTGGCGGTAGCCTTGTATAGTTAGGCAGGGTTCTTCGGGCCCGATTGATCATATGGAACAGTTTACACTGTTTTGTATGTCTTCCCTGATCGTGAGAGAGGTGAGGCAGTGAACAAGCAAGGAATGGATGGGTTTGCTCGAGGCATCCGTGATCTTTCGAATTGAAACAGCGGTCGTGTGCACTTTCAGCGGCTCGTGGGGTCATTGTGAGGCAGAGGCTTCCAGCGCGACTTTTCCTGCACAATTGTGGGTCATTATGGCATTTGCGCTCTCTGCTTTCAATCAAATCGGGCGTGTGGTCTAGGGGTATGACATCTGCTTAGCATTGATCTGATCAATACTAAACTGCTGAAGGTCCCGGGTTCAATTCCCGGCGTGTCCACTTATTTTTGCTTTTTTGCACTTGGATCTTTGTCTTCTTACTGCCACAAGCCTCTGACCGCTTGATCTTCCAGCGATGGGTCCTGATCTGTCTATGATAGATGCTTGACGTTTTGTATACATGCGCATGCTACGCTACCTAGTCCTCGGGCATTTTGCCGCTCTCCGCGTTGACTTGTTCAAGACCGAGCAACTTTTCAGCTATCATCGCCTCTTGGCTATGTGATAACTTGTCGCTGCTCTCTTGCCAGCTGACCATTCACAGGGTGGCAAGGATCTTTCGATGCCACTCCAGATAGCGGCTTCGGCTTCGTCGTAGGCTTGATGTTGTTCCTGAACCTCGTAGCGATGCTGCCTATTCATCGGCATACCTGTACACTGAAGCTTCGAGGTGGGATTTCCCCATCACGACTTGCGAACGAATTCTTCTCTTCAACCAGATACCGATTCAATAAGATCGCATCGCGGTTACTTGTGGTTTGTTGCCGTTGTGTGAACCCACAGAGCGCCAATGCTCGGCAGCACAAGAAGTAAAGCATGTAACACGTCGGCTTTGTGACCGTAATACATGAGACCAATGCTGCAAACGGACAAAATCACGTTTCTGGTCATCTTTCCATTCCTATTGCATATGTCGCTGGTCTTGTTGCTGATTTGGCGTCTTTCATCAGCATGGGACTGAGGACTCCGATGATGCCCCTCGTCGACGCAATGATTAAGACTCACACTGCGATAGTAGAAAAAAAAAGCCATGAAAAACGGCACTTTTTCTAGTCAGCGCTTCGCGATATCTTTCCATGTTAGACTTTGCCTATGTCTTTCCCAATGGCTCGAGCTACGATGTGAAACCTGTCATGTCCGGACCTACGCTCCAAGCAAGAGATCCAGGCTTTCGCGAGCACGCACCAGCCCAGCTATAGCTCAGCGTGGGTGAGCCCCGTGGAGGGGGGATTGCATCTCGTCATCCGAGCAAACAACAACACACGCGATTTTGACGTTGAGAGTGAGAAAAACTGGTTTATGTACCGTGACTCTCTATGGCTATGTACATTTGTGCGAGCCAGACTCTGAGGCCCAGGCTCTATGCCACTCATCACCCACCGGGTGCAATCAATCAAAGAAGAGAATCGTCATCCGTGATGCTAACAACATGCTCCCCCTCCTACCGCGAGCCACACTCTCTTAGTTGGGCACGCACTGCGAGTAGTATGCGTTCTGGACGTTGCAGCGGTTGCCCGCCGCGCAAGCAGTAGGTCCGGTCCAGCCCTGGCCGCCGCACTGGCCCCACACGGGAGCGGTCGCGCCGTTGGAAGGCTGC